TCCTCCTCCTCCTCCTGGTGGAAAGACATGTGCGTGTTGCGATATCCGCCGTGTGGCTGCCCCCCGTGGCCCAGGTCGAGAAACTCGCGCGCACGCGCTTCTCCGTTCCAGACAGCCAGCAGGCACCCTGACACGGTCCAGCGTGCCGTGGCGGCGCAAAATGGTTGGAACAATATATTTATATATATATATATATATATATATATATATATGTATGCGTTTTGCGATTAGGGGGGCCACAAGCGAACCCTACCCCTACCTCCCACGGTTCATTTCGTTTGGGAGCTCCCGAGCGAAGTGAACTCCACCCTCCCCCCAGAAATCGTGGGGGGTAAGGGGGAGGGTTCGCGTGTGGCCCACCAGCGATGTCCCTGTCGGCCTGGGTCGAGAGATGGAGCGCCAGAACGCCGTGCACAGGTGGATGGAGATCCGATGAGCTCGGCGTATCTTCTGCGGCTGGCAAAGATGGAGGCTGTGGGTCATTGTGGAGTCGGAGAAAGCAGAGAAGATTTGGTGTCCAGCTTGTATCCGAGGGGAGAGCTCTAGAGCCGAGGACGCTGTTCACCCTTCATGCCATCGCGGACGCATGCTTGCGGATCTCTCTCTCTCTCTTGTATCTCGCTCTCTCTCTCTCTCTCTCTCTATATATATATATATATATCGCTCTCTCTCTCTCTCGCTCTTGCTTCTCGCTCTCTCTCTCTCTCTCGCGCGCTTTGGTAAAACAAACTCCACCCCCGAACCCTCGGCTTGTCTCGCCCAGGTGCGAAGGCCAGGAGGCACGGCGAGCGGCTCGAATAGTAAGGGGGACTTGCTTTTCAGAAGGGGCTCGGTCGTTCCTCAGGTTTGTACGCGCTGTGCATCGCTCCCTTATGCTAGGGGAACAAACAGTGACATGAACATAAAAACTCAGAGGTCCGCGCGGACCTCCACATTTTTATGTTTATGCCACTTTTTGGTCCCGTAGTGTCGCTCCCTTATGCGTGAAGCATCACGCATCGCTGCGTGTGCGCTGTTCCTGGGGAAAGAACAAAAGGGGCTTCGTTCCTTCTCGATCGTTCCTCAGGTCGGGCCGATGACTGCAGGGGGGTCTGCGAGAGGCGCCGCGGGCGACCCAGAATCGTTCGATGCGGAACGATTCGGGGGAAGGGGTCCGGACCTCGGGGGGGCGAGAGGAGGAGGAGGAGGAGGAGGAGGAGGAGGAGGAGGAGAAGGAGAAGGAGGAGGAGAAGGAGGAGGAGGAGGAGGAGGGAGGAGGAGGAGGAGAAGGAGAAGGAGAAGGAGGAGGAGGAGGAGAAGGAGGAGGAGGAGGAGAAGGAGGAGGAAGAGGAGGAGGAGGAGGGGAGCGGTCCCCGCGGTGTCAGAGGCCAGCGCCGAGGTCGGCACGGCGCGGCCCTGGCGCAGAGGGGGGGGGTCTCTGCGAGAGGCGGCGCCTCTGGGCGGAAGGAGCCGGGTCGTTCCTCGGGCGGGCGCGCGCGGTGCATCTCGTGCGAAGGGAACTATTCAGGAGGGAGAAAAAACACACAGACACAATGAATCGTCGATTCCCCAGAAAGTATGGGAAAATATGGGAAGGGATGGGGAAGACGAGCGCCCAGAAAGTATGGGGAAACGTGGGGAGTATGCTTATTTGTGTGTATTTATGTTTGTGTCCCAGGGCCCCTTCAACTATGCACATGCACCGATCCTGACAACGCCCATTCTTGACCCGGGATCGGTGCAGATACTTTCCTGGCCAGGGTAAGAGGGCGTACGCACCGATCTTGGGCTCAGGGTTGGGCCTGGCCAGAATCGATGTATGTGCATAGCTTTCCTTCCTCTAGTATCGCTCCTTGTGCGTTACTTCTTATCTGTCGCTCCTCATGCGTGATTCCTTGGTTACAACAAGGGGCGTCGTTCCTCATGGATCGTTCCTTAGATCAGGCCGGTGACTGCATGGGGGCGTTGCGAGAGAGGCGGAGCTTGCGTTCCAAGGGGTCCTGGCTGCAGGCTGTGCTGGCAGTGGCGCGGAGCCGCACCATTCCGACTCCTCTGCCGGTTGGCTGCTCGTCGCTCCGCGTTATCTCGGCCTCCCTGGTCGGCCTCGAAGACCCACAGTGTCGGCCGCTGGCTCGAGCTATATCTATACATATATATATACACATACATACATACATACATACGTACATACATACATACATACACATATACGTATATCCACATATTTCTGGTATATACATATGTGCATGTATATATATATATATATGTGTGTATATACTTATACCTAAACATACGTGTATGTATATATGTATATTGGGCGCGGAAGCGCGGCGCCCGCGAATCGCCCCAGCAAACATGTGTATATATGTATATATATACATATATCTATATATATATATATATGAAAGAGCGCGTTCTGTGGTCGCTTGGAAGGGTGGGGGGGGAGTTGGAACCGGACTCCCCACCCCCCACCCCTCCCGTGACGGAGGGGGGGGGTTCGAACCCCCCCCCCTCCCTTCCATTCCTCCCCTACTTATCTCTCTCTCTCTCTTCTCGGGCCGGTTCCTGCGTCGGCGGCGGCTGGCGGCGGCGGCGGGGACGACGACTTCCTTTTCTGGGCCGGCGCCGGCGCCTGCGGCGGCGGGCGGCGGCGGCGGGGAGCGTCGACGAGGACGACGGACGACGATGACGACGACGCTCCGCCACCGTGCTTTGGTTTTGGGTCACGGTCCTCATGGATGCCTCTTGGGGTGGCGTCGGAGGGCTCTCGGGGGCCTCAGAAGGGCATTTGTGCAGCCTCCTGGTTGCCTCTTGGGCGTCTCTTGGGGCCTCTTTGAGGTGGTGGTGGTGGTGGTGGTGGGCTGTGGTGATGGTGGCGGTGGTTGTGGTGCTTGGTGAGGTTGGTGGTGGTGGTGGTTGCTGTGGTGGTTGTGGTGGCAGGTTGTGGTGGTGGTGGTGGTGGTGATGCTGGTGGTGGTGGTGGTGCGGTGGTTTCTGGTGGTGGTGGTGGTAGTTGTGGCGGTGGTAGGTTAAGGTGGTGGTGGCGGTGGTGGTGGTGGTGTGGTGGTTTGTCGTGGTGGTCGTGGTGGTGGTAGTTGTTGTGGTGGTGGTGGGTTGTTGTAGTGGTGGTGGTGGTGGCGGTGGTGGTGATTATGGTGGTGGTGGTGGTGGTTTGTTGCGGTTGTGGTGGTTGTGGTGGTGTTTGGTGGTGGTGGTGGTGGTGGTGGTGGTGGTGTGGTGGTGGTGGTGGTGGGTTGTGGTGGTGGTGATGGCGGTGGTGGTGGTTGTGGTGGTGGTGGCGGTGGTGGTTTGTTGTGGTGGTGGTGGTTGTGGTGGTCGGTGGTGTGGTGGTGGTTTGAAGGTGGTGTGGTGGTGGTTTGTGGTGGTGGTGGTTTGGTTGTGGTGTGGTGGTGGTTTGTGGTGGTGGTGGTGGGTTGTTGTGGTGGCGGTTGCTTGTGGAGTTGGTGCTGGTGGTGGTGGTGGTGGTGGTGGTGGTGGTGGTGGTGGTGTGGTGGTTTGTAGTGGTGGTGGTGAGTTGTGCTGCTGGTAGTGGTGGTGGTTGTGGCGGTGGTCGTGGTGGTGGTGAGTTGTGGTGGTGGTTGTTGTGGTGGTGGTTGCTGTGGTGGTGGTGGGTTGAGGTGGTGGTAGTGGTGGGTGGTGGTGGGCCCGTGAAACGCGCGCGCTCTCTCTCTCTCTCTCTCTCTTTTTTTCTCTTTCTCTTTCTGTCTCTCTCTCTCTCTCTCTCTCTCTCTCTCTCTCTCATATATATATATGTATATATGTGCGTATACATATACATCCTCAAATGGAAAATCGTGGCTGCGAAGTTCCCTCCTCCTGGATGTGTTCGGGGGCGCCTTGGCCCGAACCGGAAGTAGAAAAAGCAGAGCAACGTGGGCCACCATGAGGCTCACTCATCCTGCTGTGCGGGGGCCCGACTCAAATTGCGCCTGCGCTGAGGGCACGTGTGTGCTTTCGATAGGCAACCGGTTGCCTCGTCCGAGTTTGCACCACGTGGTCGCCCGTCGGCCCGTTGGAGCCTCGCGGGCTTCGTTCTCGTTGCCGCTTGGGGGCTGTCGATGCCCGCCGAAGCCACACACACACAAGAGGGCGAAGATGTGCGTTTAGAATTTCTGGACCTGGTCACGTCCCTCCCCACGCAGCACCCGAGGATGGTGATTCTGACGCGCCGCTGACGGCAACACCACTTCGCTCTCCCTCCGGGACTTCGCCTCCGGCTCCTGTCCAAGGCGTACCTTTTCCTGTGCAAACTCTTCGGCACCGCCTGCACCCCGCACCCTCCGGCCGCCTGAGGCCCCACCCGCCCGCGCCCTGCCTCCCCAAGTCGCGCTTTGCGCGCACCTCCTAGCTCTTAACCGGAAGAGGCCCGCTCTCGACCCGCAGACCAAAAAGTGTTTAGCATGACTGGTTTGCTGATTTGGTCAGCTTTCACAATTTGGTCTGCTTTCACAATTTTGAGGGCAAGCTTGGGCTACCTCGGGCCATGTTTGAAACATGTGCGGCTTTGCAAGAATGGGTTCGCTTCCGAGAGGTCGAGAAGTCGATTCCCCGTTTTCGATGGAAGGTTGCGGAAGCAAAACGAGGGCGGTTCCGCTGGTGGAAGTTGGCAGAACGCCTGCGGAAGCAACATATGGTTCGAGAGGTGAAACAGTGTTGGGAATTCGGGTTTCGGAGCGGCCCGTTTTTGACCATCTTGGACGCTCTGACCCCTCGTGCCCCCCCCATTCAGACACCCAATGAGGGGTGTGGCGCTTCATTGAAGGAAGGGGCTATTCTTGGAAAGCCGGCGCTCTAACCCCCCCACGGTCATTGGATTTGTTGGGATTCAAGGATAAGAATGTGTGACATCCTAAGATAGTGTGACATGCTAAGCCACCTACGCCCAGAGGGCTGGTGGAATTTGCTGTGCATGGGAAGCTTTTGGTCCGGGGGATGGGTATCGCACGCCTGGTGACCCAAAATGGGTCGGCCGATCTGAAGGCTGCGACGTGGTCTCATGCCTGGCGCAAGTAGCAGCACACACGCTGGAAGGAAGTTTCTTGGGGCGGGCGCCTTTCGGCTTATCTTCTTCTCTGGCCAGAAAAACCGCCAACCAGGGCCGAGGCGGGGATCCCGATGGTGGTGGCGCTGGTGCGGCACCGGGTCAACGCCATAAGTTGCCTGCATGAGCGCTTGTTGTGTGTGTGTGTGTTTGCAGGACACGTGAGCTAGTCATCGCATACGGTCGTGCGCACAATGATCATGTGGTGTGTGAGTGTACGTGAGATGTGTTGTCGGAACCCGTCCCCCACGAGAGATGCTGTCGCCATTTCGACGATGATGGTGTGAGGGAATTGTTTGTTATTGTGCTGCTCCAACAGGTAGGCAGTGTTCCTTCCACCTCGAAGGGAACAAGCGTCTCTGAATTGCTGACGTTGTGCGTATCCCCCACCAGCACATCCAGAAACGATGCCCAGGCGAGTTCCCTTGATCAAAGAAGCGTTGGAGCCTGCCGTGGAACAAAGTTGGGGGGAAGGCGTCAAACCGACATTCGGGATCGATCAAGGAAGGCGGATGAAGAAGAGGAGGGCGAGCAGAAGGAATAGTAATTTCACTGAACACATGCCCATTCAATGTTTACAAATCTTATGTGGGAGGACGAAGTAGATGATCATTAGGAGGTGGAAGAGCAGGAGGAGTAGAAGGAGAGGAGGCGGATGCGGGAGGAAGCGATGGGAAGAATAGGTGGCAGGAGGAGGGGGGGAGATGAAGGCGACGACGACGACGACGACGACCATGAAGAGTCAATTCTTCTGGGAGCTTCTTGAACCTTGAATGCCTCTTGGAGCAACCCTGATGATGCCCTCTTGGGGCAGTTTTGGGAGGTTCTGGTGCCCCCTTGGGTGCTCTGGGGACCCCCGAGCGCCACCTGGGAGGCCATCAGTGACAGCGTGAGCGGCTCGGCCCCCCGCGTCGTAGGTCCGACGAGTCGCACCGTGGAGCGCCCTCTTGCAACGCACCTCGGGGCGCCCATGCGGCCTTCACACGCCGGTCGTTGAAGTTGGGTATGTTTGGATTCCCAGATGCCAATCTACTTTTAAGTCGGGCCTGCCCCTCCAAAGGAGGAATATTCAAAGATAGTCAAAAATAGTCCAGGGACGATCTTGTTGGCATGTTTTACACATGTTGGGGCATCTTCAGGGTATGTTGCCTCTGTCTTCCAGAATCCGCCTGTAGGGGGACGTGCCCGACCTAAACCTACTTTGGGGCGTCTTCCTGCTTCAGGGGTCGAGCGGTTTTCCCTCTTCCCTCCTCTTCGGGGGGTGGGCGGAAGCCCAATCTACTTCCAACGCCTTCCTGCTTCATGTTTCTACCCGCTGCTTGTGACCGGCGTGTGCGGGTCATTCGGAGCACTGCTTGGTCCCTTTCGGGCGATCTTTGAGCCATCTTGTGGCCTAAGAGGCCCATCGGAAGCTAAACAACTGGATGGCGAACCTCACGGAACATGCAGCTTTTGGATTGTGTTCGCCTGTCGGGATCTTTCTTGGGAGGCTCCCAGGCCACCTTGAGCCGTCTTGGAACCGTCTCAGGGTCTCTTGAATGCATGCTGGAGGCCATATTGGACAATTTGATACCATCTTGGAGGCCAGGTCAGAGCATCTGGGGCCATCGTGGAGCTACCTTGGCCCGAAAGCCTTCCAGAAATGCCACCCAAGGGCCCAAAGATTTCAAACATCGTGCATTATTCTACGCTTTGCGTAACCCCACCAGCCCATCAAGAAACGATGCCCAGGCGAGTTGCCCTGATCATGGATGTGGAGGAGCATGCAGCGGAATAGAGGGCAGGGGAAGCCGTCATACCCCAAGAGGGGGAGGATGGAGGAGGAGTCGGAGAAGGAGAGGGGGAGGGGAGAAGGGAGAGAAGAACATGCGGAGGAAGAGGAGGAGGGCGAGCAGAGTGGCCAGAGGCCTCTTGGGATGCCCCCGGAGTCTCTTCGGATGTGGCTTGAGAGGTTCTTGGCGTCATCTCGGGGCGGCTTGGGGGCCTTGATGGCTGTCCCGGGGGGCCTCTTGGAACGTCTTGGGTGCCTCGGGAAACCCTCTCGAGGCCTCTCGGGGGTCTCTCGGGAGCCTCTCGGGGGACCTCTTGCGGCCTCTCGGGGCCTCCTGGGAGCCTCCTGGGGCCATCTTGGGGCACTCCTGGAGGAGCTCGATCCAAGAACAGGGGGTACCATGTTCCATCCCCCCCTCAGGCGGCCATCATGGCGCCAACACCTCTGTAACATTCTCGCCGAGGCCTTCTTGGACTTTCTAATGCGTCCCGACCCCCCCTGTCCAGTATGGGGGAGGCGTAGAAGGAGGGGTCAAGACATTCTCCCCGCCTGCAAGCTGTCGCTCACTCCCTCCCGCCCTCCCAACACATAAGTAGCACCAGGGCCTCAGCATGTTCAGCGGTCGCCTATGCATGGGCAGCTACAGGGAACCACTGCAGATGCCATGTGAGCGATGGGGCGAGGCGCGCCACGCGGGCCAGGCGCCCCACCTGCGCCGGGCACCCCTGGGACCCCAGCGTGCCAGGCACGCCGCGCGCACCGGGTGCGCCGCGTGCGCCATGTGTGCCGCATGGTCCGGCCGCGCCGGGTGTGCCACGTCTGGGGCGTGCGCAGGGTGTGCCAGGTGCGCCCGCGCACGCGACAGCAGACCTCGGCCAACAGGTCGGCCCCCGCCAACCGTGTCGAAGACCAGTGCGCCATCGCGGCGGGGAGGCCAGCATGGAGTCTGGTGGGCCTGGGCACAGCAGGCACTGTGTCAGCACTCCCGCGGCCCTTGTCAAACACCAACATGGACACTGATCGCGGGGTGGCCGCGCATGATCCAGATTTAGCCGCGAAGTGCATGTTGTGAATATTTTCATTGGAATGGTGGCTTTGCGCGAAGCAGGCGATATGAGAAAGAGCGTGTTCTACCGCTGCTGGCGGAAAACCGGGGGGGGGTCACTACCGGTTCGAACCCCTCCCCCCCCCCCCCTCCGGAAAACCGGGGGGGGTCATTACCGGTTCGAACCCCTCCCCCCCCTCCCCCAGTTCATCATGAAAAGGGGGGGGGTCACTACCGGTTCGAACCCCCCCCCCTCGAAAACCGAGTGGGGGTGCGGACAGTGGTGGGGACGGTGGGTGGGGACAGTGGTGAGGGGACAGCGGGACAGTGGTGGGGACAGTGGGACAGTGGTGGGGACGGTAGTGGTGGGGACAGTGGTGGGACAATGGTGGGAACAGGGGGGACAGTGGACAGTGGTGGGGACGGTGGTGGTGGGGACAGTGGTGTGGGGACAGTGGGAATGAGGTGGAAACAGTGGGACAGTGGAGGGTACAATGGTGGTGGGGACAGTGGTGAAGGCGGTGGCGAGGACGGCGGTGGGACAATGGGACAGAGGTACAGTGGGGACAGTGGTGGGGACAGTGGGGACAGTGGTGGGACACAGTGGGAACAGTGGGACAGCTCAGTGGGACAGCGGCGGAGTCAGTGGGACAGTGGGGACAGTGGGGATAGTCGGGCAGTGGTTGGGGCCGTGGAGACAGTGGGGAGAGTGGAACCGTGGTGGGAACAGTGGTGGGGACAGTGGGGACAGTGCGACAGTGGTGGGGGCACTGGTGGGGACACAGTGGGGACAGTGGTGGTGAGGACAGTGGTGCTGGGAACAACAGTGGGGGATGTGATGCGGACGGTGGTAGGGACCGGGAGTCGTTTGCTGGCGGTGAGTGGGGGGGGTGGGGAGGGGTTCGAACCGGTAGTGACCCCCTCCGGTTTTCGAGGGGGGGGGGGGGGTTCGAACCGGTAGTGACCCCCCCCCGGTTTTCGAGGGGGAGGGGAAGGGGGGGGGGAGGGGTTAGGGGAGGGGGGGGTTTTGCAGGGGGAGGGGGGGAGGGGTCCAGCAGGGGGGGGGATTTTCGGAGGGGGGGGGGGGGCGACCCCCGGGTTCTGGAGGAAAAGGTTGGCAATTTTCCGCAGTAAAGCGGCGGTGGATCACGCTCTCTCCGATATGAGGGCACCCCCGCCGTCCCTGTCAACAGAAGCAATACAAAGGGCTCGTGGGGCCCACGAGCATGACCCAAGATTTTGCCCCAAAGTGTGCTTTCTATCGCTTCTTGACAGGAAAAAGGTGGGGGTCTCATTGGTCCTGGTTGGCTGCCGGTCGCCTGGGGGAAGGGGCTTTTGCTATCAGGGAACGGTGATAGTCCCTTCCCCGACGAGGAAGAATGTGGTCGGAATAGGAAACCCGCTAAAGCACTCACACCCAAAAGGGCTGGTGGCATTATTGACGCCTCGCGTAGCCCCACCAGCCCATCGAAATCGAAACCAAGGGGACTTCTCGAGAGGAGGACGCAGAGAAGCATCTAGTGAAGCAAGGAGGCCAACAAAGATGAACTTGAAAACCTCTGGGGGCCTCTTGGAGGCCTCGTGAAGTTATCCTGAAGCTCTCTCGGAGGTCCCTAGCAAGCACATCCTCTGGAGTCCCCCAAGGCACTTCTTTGAGCGCTCTTGGGGTCGTCTTGGGGCCACCTTGGGCCACTCTTACGATCCTGTGGGGCCATCTTGGAGCCATCTTGACGCCTCAGAAGCCCTTCGGAAGCGAACATGCGAGAAGTCAACAAAAAGATTGTTCTTGGTATTTGGGAGGGCTTTGGCCTCTTGGGGGCTTCCTTGGGAAGCTCCGTGGCCGCTTGGAGCCGTCTTGGGGAGGTCTTCGAACCTCTTGGACGCATGTTGGAGGCCATCTTGAACTATCTCGGGATACTCCAGATTTCGTAATAAAAGGAAGGGGGTCTGGACCCTCCAAGACAAGCCATTTCAGACCTCCCCCGTGGGAGAACCCTCCAAAACATCGTCCCCAGACCCCCCAGGCCCTCCGAGATAGCCTGGAAGAGACCCCCCTCGAAATGAGACCCCCCTCCCTTTATTACGAAATCTGGAGTATCGTGACCCATCTTGGAGACTATCCAAACTCCTTCTTGAAACGATATCTGACCATCTGTGACGCTCCGACAGGTTGCGGCCCTCTCCGTCCAGGCCCAGCGCGAGGCTGTTGATGCACCCAGTGTTCGACAGCTGCCGCGCCCACTGACACGTGATTGTGATTCGTTCAGAGGTACGTTCGTAGAAATTATCCCAGTGCGACTCTACCTAGGAGTTGGAGGATCTAGGAAAGCAACATCTATATGAAGCTAAGTTAAGCTAAGATGAAGCTAAGCTAGGATGAAATAAGCTAAGCTAAGATGAGATAAGCAACGCTAAGCTAAGGGGACGTAACTGGGGGAACCGCGGGGCGGATACTGGGGGAACCGCCCGGGCCGAGTTGCACAGCCCGGCCTTTTAAGCATACCGAGTAAGAACGCTTCTAGGCAGAGCCTAGGTAGGGAAAAAGAGGGGTCAAGCTACCCACAAGTTGCAAGCCGTCTCGCTCATTTCCACCGGCCCTCCCAAACAAAGAAGCAGCACCCGAGTCTCAGCATGGGCAGGGGCCGCCATCGACACCCATCGGGAACCGGTGCAGATGCCAGCCAGTTGCGCGACGCCCGCGAGGTGCGCCAAGCGTGTCAGTGCACCCCTATCGTCCCTGTGAGATCATGATGCCACATGTTCGCTGGGCGCCTGCGCATGGTGCAACATGGTCTGTCGCAACGTGCACTTTGCTTCCGCTTCTGACGGGGGGGGTGGGCCTGCGCACGCGGGGCCGCGTGAGAGAACCCCCCAGCGGCCGCCCCCTGTCAACATGAGCTGTACAAAGTGGACGCGGGGCGCCCAGACATGATCCGGAGTTTTGCAGCAGAGTGCTTTCGCTTGGTTTTCTGACGGGGATGGCTGAGGGGCGGCATTGGCCCTGGTTGGCGGCCGATCGAGAAGGGGAGGGGGTGCTTGTTCATTAGCAGCAGCGGTAACGCCCCCCCCAGAAGGGCAATCATCCGACCACCTCGGCCCAGCGGGCTGGTGTCCCTGAATGGCTTTGTACAAAGCCACGACGGTTTCCTCACTAGGGTTGCCGCCCTGGAGCTCGAATATAGCTTATAGGGGCCCTCTTGGGATGCTCCTGGAGCTTTCTCGGTGGCCTTCGGGATCATCTCTGGGCCCCGCTTGAATGCCTCTTGATCGACCTTGGAGCCATCCGGATGCCCCAAAAGCCCATCGGAAGCGAAAAAGCTTCAAGGCTGCGATCTTTGACGACAAACCCCAAAGTTTTTTCCATGATTGGGGCTTCTCGGCGTCTTCCTTCGGAGCCTCCATGGCCACATGGGGCCTCTCCTGCCCCCCCCGCCCCCCCCCACTGCCCTCTCTCTCGCCCACTCTTCCCCGATCCCCCTGCCTCCTCCCATGTTCGCACTCGTCGGAGGGACGCGCTTCTCGTGTGTTTGCGTGGACGCACGCAGTGGCCGACATTTGGGCCAGAATTCGGCATTTGGGCCGCCTTGCCCTTGCAGGAGGGGGTGATGAGTGACAACCAGAGAGAGAGAGAGAGAGAGAGAGAGAGAGAGGACGGGAAGCCCTGACCCCAGCAGGTGCGACCCGCCAAGTGGTTCGGCGAGGGTTGCCGTTCGTCGGCTTTCGAGTTTGGCAGAAGGCGACGCGCAGCCAGTGGGAGTGAGGTGATGTCACAGGCGTTCCAGACAGGGTCTCGCCTTCGAAGGAGCGAGAAGTTGGCATCTCTTCCAGCGAAAGGGCGGCGGAAGCTGGCGGGAGAAAAACGGAGGCCGCCTGTGGAGGTACGGTAGGTTCGCGTCGTGTCGACCAGCGGCGACCCCGCCGCGGGCGTTCAAGATGGAGCGCCGCCAGCGGCCCAGAGTCGGCCCAATGTGGAACGATCTGGCGATCGAAAGACTGCCGATCGCTGAGGGTTGAGCGATCCACGCGGTTTCAGAAACCAACGCTGGGGTCGTCACGACACGAACCCCCAGACCCCCGACGACGTGATTTTTTCACAGCGTCGACCCCCAGAAGTCTGGACCCCTTCCCCAGGACCGGCTTTTCCTCCTGAGTCGCTTCTTGACGCTCCCGAGGCCCAGTTAAGGGACCCTGGAGGCCGACGAGAGCGAAGAATGAATGCCTCCCGTTGCGATTTTTGTCACAGCGCCCCGCCGTAAACATCCTCGCCCCGGGCCCGTGCCCGTGCTGCTTGGTGATCGTTTTTTTATGCATTGTTTTGCCGATCGGCGCGGGCCCTCGCACCCTCCCCCCTCCCCCCCATGGAGTAGATCTTGGCTGTTTTTGGCGCCTGTTTCAGGCAGGTGGAGTCCCTCCCCTTTTTCTGTTATTCTTGGGCCCCCGGCCCTACAAACAGATGCGAATCGGAAGATTGTTGGATGTACAGGTGTTTGGCCCATGTTGGCTAACACCTATGTATGTGTATAATAGATTCACTCATCTATCTATCTGTCTATGTATCTATAGTCCGATCCATGTATCTATATATATATATATATATATATATATATACCTATATATATATATCTATATCTATATCTATACATATATATATATATATATCTTTCTATCTATCTATATATCTATATATATATATATCTATCTTTCTATATATATATCTTTATATATATATATATCTATATTTGTATACACATTTCTATATATATATACATAAACATGGATATACATTTACATACACATATGCAGATATGTGTATACGTGTACGCACATACATACGCACAAGTGGCACGTCCGTGCCCAGGATCGTGCAATCGATCGTGATAGGTGTGTCTGTGTGCCAGTACTGGGTGTTGTGTGTTGTGTGTGACGTGCGTCAATGGTGGATGTCTAGTGTGTGTGTGTGTTGTGCTGTGTGTGAGTTTTCTGTGTTTTATGTGTTGTGTGTGCCGTGTGTTCTGTGTGTGTGTTGTGTGGGTGTGTGCTGTTGTGTGTGATACCTGTGTGTACCGGATGTTGTGTTTTACAGGTGTTGTGTGTGATGGGTGTGTGTTGGGTGTATCATGTATGTGTGTTGTGTGGGTTATGTGGTATGTGTGTTGGGCGGGTCGTGTGTATATGTCGTGTATGTTGTGTGGGATGTGCATGTGGATGTGTATTGTATGTACTAAGTGCGTTGTGGGCATGTTGTGTGTGTATCATTTGTTTCGTGGGTCGTGAGTGTGTGTGTGTGAGTGTGTGTTTTGTGTTGTGTGTGTGTTTGTGTTTGTGTTCTCTTTGTGTGTGCTCTTGCAAGAGGATGTCTTAGGCCAAACGCGTTGAACGCCGTGGTTGTTATTGAAGGTGTTATGTGAAACTTCCCTGGCCATTTTGGCTCAAACCACTGGTCTGGTCTCAAGCTGCTGTCTGGTGCCTTACGCCATCAGCGCGGAAGCAGGGGAAACGCGCGAGCGCCAGGTGCCATGCAGATGCCGCTGGCGCATGCTGTGCCCGCATATTCGGCCATGGAAGGCGAGCCCGAGGCCGTGGCGGCGCCCTGGCCGCGGTCCCGCTGCCGCTTGCCGGCACTCCGTGCGCTCGCCGTCCTCCTGGTGGTCGCTGTCTGCGCGGTCGCGGGGGGCGGCACGGGCGGCCTGATCCCCGTGCGCGGGAGGCTGGCCGACGGGATCAGCATGCCAGATTGGGGCAAGGAGGCGAGTTTGGCGCCGCGGACATCTACCCATCGTCGAGGGCGCTGAGCAGGGCGTCGCCCTCGTCTGTGGCCAGGCGACGAAGCCAGACGGCACTCCGTCCGGGTGCCAGTCTCCCGCGCGAAGGGGGCGAAGAAGTTACTGGATGAGGGGAAGGTGGTAGCGTTGATGGTCTCTGGGGGATATCCCGCAGGTGTCGGTACGACCGAGGCTTTTGCAATGAGGCAGGTGCTGATGGAGGAAAACGTTGCAGAGGACGAGATCGTTTTAGAGTCTCAGGCATTTCGCCACTGCGGACAACTCCTGGTTTGCTATGCGGTGGATCCCTCCAGGCACGGGCAAGTTCTACATAGTGGCATCTGAATTTCACGTTCCAAGGGCATGGTGGACCGCTACTGCTGTCTTCATTTACTTCTACCAGAGTCTTGAGGACGAGTTCAACGATGATGAGCGCTGGACAAGCTCGACCAAGAAGTGCCCGAGATTTGGAGGTGATCGTAGAGGCCATTCCAAACTTCTGCGGCACAGACCCCTCCACGGCAGACGACGTCAGCCTCGGTGTTGATGTCAGTCGGAGGCCGTTGGCATACCGCGCTGTGCGCGAGATGGACATCATCCACGGTGCCGTCCCGAAAGAGGGCCAGCTGAGCCTGAACGCTGTCTGGTTCCCGATGATCGACGTCAGCAAAGACAACGAGACGGCCAAGAATTGGGATATTGCGATAGCGCACATGATGAACGTCGTCACAGCAGCGTGCGTGTGCAAGGGGAGCATGGAGGGGGACGGGCCAGAAGTCGAAGAGTATCCTCTGGCCCTGCCTAGCTCGGACTTCCTGCGAGAAAGGCAGTCAACGACTGGGAAACAGTCAAGAAAGAGTACAATCCCGACGTTGACATGGTGGATATTGGTAAAAATCTGTCTGGGAAAGACAACGAGGAGGTCGAGCTCCATCTTCGTTAACATGTATTTGTATATGTATGCAGACATGTGTATAACACACATACGCACAACTGGCACGTACGTGTCCAGGATCGTGCAATAAATCGTGCGAGGTGTGTGTGTGGGTGTCTACACTTATTGTGTTGTGTGTGTGTCGTGTGTAACGTGTGTCCGTGGTGGATGTCCGTGTATATTTGTATAGATATAAGTGTTGTTCCAGCGGCGAGGTGGCGACGCCGTCGCGAGCATTAAGTCGGGGCACGCTTGGTCGGATTCCACCTGGCGTATCAGGCGGGTGGATTGAGCACGGCAGTCGCGCGCAGAAAATGGCGCCGACGCGCGACATGCATGTGGAAGCGGCACATACACACACGCACACACACACACACACACACACACGCGCGCACATATTCACATTCGCACATGCACGCATGCACACGCACACACACACAGACACACACACACACACACGCACACACACACACACACTCGCACACATGCACACATGCACACACACACACTCTTGTTCCTTCGCTGGTGGAGTGATTCCAGTGTCGGGAGAGCAAGGTTGGGGTGCGATCGAGCTAATTGCGCCCAGCGTCGTGGATTTAGCGCAACCTGGAAGCCCAGGTCCTGGGGTGGAAGACGCGCAGCCTGCAGGTATGGCGCGCCTGCAAGCGGCGGAGTGGGCCAGCCTGCCGGCGAAAGGCCGCGATGCAAGACAGAAGGCCAGGCTGGCGTATTCAATATATTCTTGGGAGGGAGAGCCAAAAGGCAGAGACTTGTGCGTGGAGTCGCGCTGTCGCACGCACACACGCACACGCCACACACACACACACACACACACACGCACACCACACACACACGCACACACACACACACACACACACACACACACGCGCGCGCACGCGCACACACGCGCATGCGCACACACGCACACGCGCACACACGCGCACACACACTTACTTGCGTTGTTTGTTGGGGGGTGTTTTGTGTTTGGGGTTTGATGCTTGATGTGGGTTGGGGTTTGGCGTTTCGGAGGTAGGTATTGGGGATCGGTGTTTGGTGTTGGTCTCCGAAGCCTCTCGGAAGCCTTGCAGTTCGCCCGGATAACCAGCCCTTCATCCAGAGAGTTCTCTTTTGTCCAGGAGGGAGGGGGAAAGGAGGCTGGGGAAGAGTGTAGGAGTAGGAGTAAGAGTAAGCCGGGCTTGTCCCTCTACCGGCGGAAAATTCAAGCATAGTCGAAACATTGTCTGGGGACGATTTTTTTGAATATTTCTGGGCATTTTTGGATCAGGTTTTGACCATTTTTGATTTGTCGTCCAAAATCCCCCTGTGGGGGGGCACGCCCGACCCAAGAGTAAGGGGAGGAGCGGCAGCGCAGCAGCGGCAGCAGGACGGCGGGCCGGCGGCTGCCGCAGAGCGTGCGCTCCCCGCCAGGTTGCGCGACCTGGTCGAGCGGTGCAGGCGCGGGGCCGCAGGGGTGGTGGGCAGAGCGCTCTCGCAGGCCTGGAGGTTGACACCAACACCAATGAAGGCGGCGTGCCTCTACCGAGGGGAGGAGATCCGGACCTCGGCGATGGTGGTCACATGGTGGCTTCCAAGGGGGCCGAAGTGTGGCCACCAGCACCGAAATCTAGGGTCCTCTTCCCCATGTGGAGGCACCCCCCTGTGTTGGTGCTGGTGCTCGCTTCCAGGCCTCCAGCACTCGTGTCCAGCGCCAGGGTTGAGTCGGGCGTGCCCCTCTAACTACAGGAGGAAAATAACAAAAACTTGACCAAACATAGTCTGGGGACGAACTTCTGAGTTTTTCTTTCTTTTTGAAAAAAAAAGCTGTTTGCTCTCTAGGAAAAGTATTGGAGTAGTTTCGCTGTTTTTGACGTTTCGTCCAAAATCCGCTTGTAATTCGGGGGAAATGCCCGACCGAAGTCCAGCGGCCAGGGGCGGGTGGGGGGCCGGCGGGCGGCGTCGGCGGAGCGCCGGGCGAGAGCGACCACCGCGACGCCAAGCGACCACGAGGACGACGAGAACGACGGGAACGACGGCCACGATCGCGGCGGCGATGACGACCCAGACGGCGAAAAGGGGCAGGGCGGTCCCCCTCCCCCTCCTCCTCCTCCTCCTCCTCCTCCTCCTCCTCCTCCTCCTCCTCCTCCTCCTCCTCCTCCTCCTCCTGCTCCTCCTCCTCCTCCTCCCCCTCCCCCTCCCCCTCCCCCTCCCCCTCCTCCCCCTCCTCGCCCTCCTCCTCCTCCTCTCGGCGAGTCTTATCTGCGAGCCTCTCGGCCTGTGAGGCCAGGGCCTGCCGTGCTCGGCCAGGGCGGCTCGGGTCCGAGGGGCCGGCGCGGGTCCCCCCTTAGTGGCCATGCAGGGACTCGGCATCGCTCGGACGTCTGCATTGTTTTCTCGGCGAGGACCATCGAGGACCATCCTGGACCATCGAGCAACAAAAAAAAACACGCACGAGACCAACAAATGCACGGGAAAATGGACGTCCGAGCGATGGCGAGGGGAAGGGCTCGTCTCTGGGAGCAGGGGCACGAGAGCCGGACAGGTGAGCGACGCAGGACACAGTCGGTTCGACTGCGCGGACCTTCGCGCGCCATCGAGATCTGACCGCGTGAGGTCGTGCAGAGGCGCCCTCGTCTCCAGTGCAGCGTGCCGCGCTGGCGGCTCGCGTAAGCCACCGAGTAAGGTCGCCGTGCCTTCCCGCGTGAGCAGATACCGTTCGTCTTCGCCGCTCAGCACGGCCCATGTCGATCCGATCGATCCAGGTATTTCTATCGGCTCCAGCCGGTCCGATTCCGATTTTCAGGCGATCCGAAGCGTCTCGACGCTGGCATGGCGCTGTTGCGCATCTTGGCGCAGCTGGCTCTATTCGATTCCGACTCAGTGCCGATGCGGCCCGATTCGAGGTACGTCCCGATCCAATCCGACTTCACGATTCGACGTTGATTGATCAGGGAAGCGCAAGACTCGAGTGCGCCGGAACTCGGATTCGCCGACGCTGTTTGACGAGCCCGTCCTGAATTCTGACGGTCCGGTTTTCTTGGGATGTTTGCAGCGGGAGCCCGCGTCGAATGTCAGGTTGGGTCGCGTCATTGTCGTGATGGCCCCGTCGGGCCAACCTTGCGCAGAAGGATTCGAGGCAAGTAGCCCCCGCTGCGCCCAGTCCCAGAGGAGGAGGCAGAGGAGTCCTCCTCCCCCTCCTCCTCCTCTCCCTCCTCCTCCTCCTCTTCCTCCTCCTCCTCCTCCTCCTCCTCCTCCTCCTCCTCCTCCTCCTCCCTCCTCCTCCTCCTCCTCCTCCTCCTCCTCCTCCTCCTCCTCCTCCTCCTCCTCCTCCCCCTCCCCCTCCCCCTCCCCCTCCCCCACCCGCCCAGGTGGCACGCGGCGGAGTTCCCGGGGAGCGCGCCGGACGTGACCTTCGTGGCCCTGCTGGACGCGCCGCCGCCGGCGCAGTGGCAGCAGGCGGCCGTCTTCGACCGCGTGGCCTCCGTGGAGCAGGCCCTCGGCAGGTTGGGGCGGCCCGCCGGGCCCGGCGCGGCGGGGCCCCGGGGCAGCCCGGAGGCGCTGCTGCGGGGCTTCGGCGCGGAGGCGCCGCAGTGGCTCGCGCGCGTGGCCCGCGCGCTGGCGCCAGAGGGCGGCGGCCACGGGGGAAGCTCACCGCCCACCAAACCACCCCAACCCAACCCGAAGGCCTCAAGTTGACCTCCACGTCCAGTGGCGGGGGGAGTCGGGGAGCATCGAGAGAACACACATGGAGCCCGTTCCCCCCGCCCCCCTCAACCCGAAATTGGGGTCTTCGGGGGTTGGGTTGGGGTGGTCTGGTGGGTAGCCAGGAGGCTGGGGCCAGACGCGCAGGGTCCTGAGATCCTGGCGTCGCCGGATTTCGGCGCTGTCGCTTTCGCGCCCAGTTTCGGGCCCCGGGGCCCGCACAGGGCGATGCAGCTCGAGAAATGAGGTGGAAGGATGGGGTCCGGGGCTCAAGGCGCGATGTTTTGCGATGCTGCATTTTTTGCAACGTCGGATCTCAGGGGAGGGGGGGGGGCTTCTGAGAAGCGCCCCCGCTTCTTAGAAGGCGCGGGCCTTGTCTGTAGACGTAAGGCCGGCGCCTTCTATAGGAAACAGCCTCTTTCTAAGAAGCCTTCCCCTTTCCCTTACCCTTCCCAGAAATAATTTCAAGCGCCCGGAAAAGTGTCGAAAGAGTGTCGAAACAGCGTCGAAACAGAGTCGGACGAGTGTCTCCCAGGGCCCAACATGTGAAAACCTTCGAGTTCTGGCATTTTGATTGGTGCTCGACACTCTGTCTGGTGATCAAGGCTAAAGCAGGTTTCGGGGGCGGCAAAGAGGGGGGTGATGACTAGTGGGGGGTATATCATGGCGGGGGCCATGATATTTTCCCCAGATTTCATGGCGCCTCTTCTTCTTTCATTACGTCCCTGGCCCCCACGCTGGGCCGCGCACATGCCGCCGGTCATGATTTGCACCCCCCTCTCTTCGACACCCCCCTCTTGGCCGCTCCCGAAGGTTGGAACACCATAACCCTACCCCTTAGGCGATGCTTAAGAATACCCAAGTTTTCGGCCAGAGTCTCGATTATTCTTAATGTTTCAATGTAAATCCCACGATTTGAATAGAGATTCTGGGTTTTTATTCGAATTCTGAGACTATGAATTTCTTAACCCATGATTTCTTAAGCATTTCGCAGGGTGTACCCCCCGTCTGCGCGCCGTCGAGAAGCGGGTCCTGAGGGGAGCGGGTCCTCCCTGAGAGCCTGGCGCACCCCTTTCTCGAGCCAGGCGTGTGCGTCGGTGCTCGGGCCCCAGGGCCCTCAAAGGTCGACCCAGCTCGAAGGATGCAGCCGAAAGGTGGGGTCTAGTCCGAAGTCGGGCGTAGATAAAAAAACAGTCAGGGGACGTTTTTTGTGTTTGTTTACCTATTGTTGATGTTTCGTCCAAAATCCACCTGTAGGGGGACATGCCCGACCTCAGTCTAGTCGGGGATTGCCGACAGGTGCCCCTGGCCCAAGGTGCCCTCAGCTTTCCGCTGAATTTTGGAGCCCCTGGGGCCCTCTGGGCCTCGCGAAGGGTGCTTCGGAGGCCGTGGGGGCCTCCTCGGAAGTCCTGGTGGCACCTTGGGCCAGGAGCACTTCTAGCACCTGATCTGGGCCTCCGGCTTCATTTCTCACGATGCTGCCTTTTTTCTCGCGCCGTCGGATCTCAGGGCTGATGAGGGGGAGAAGGAGGAGGAGGAGGAGGAGGAGGAGGAGGAGGAGCAGGATGAGGAGGAGGAGCAGAAGGAGAACGAGGAGGAGGAGGAGGAGGAGGAGGAGG